GATCTTTGCAACTGATCATTATTCAAGATCTGCTGTAAAACCAAAAACAATCTGTTTTACTGTAATTTCCTATGATCTCTGTAAAGCTGCTTTCAAACCATCTATATTGTTAAAAGCTCTATATAAATAAAGGTGACTTGACAAGTGAATAATTCCTAAGAGCTCTGAATGACATAAAAAGAAATACTATAAAAACACAGGAATATGAGTAACGCTTAACGGCTTGGCCGTATGAAGGCCAGAAAACATCCCTGGTCCGATCTGCTAGACAGCAGCGAATCTCTTCTCGGTTTAAATGCGAGTGTGTGTGTGTGTGTGTGCGCATGTTAGCCAGAGACCAATAGCGTGTGCAAGTGTACCAGCGCACATGCCTGCCAGCGTTAGCAAGGCGTGGGTAGCAAATATTACTGTCTCTTATCAGCCAACCCACTCCCTTCACCCTTATATCCACAACATGCTCGGGTCCACCGTCTGCCCAAAGATATCAAATCATGCCGTGCATTTCCCAAAAAAAAAACATTCGGCCTCTGTAATATCCTCTGGAAATGCATCGTTATTTGCAAGCTGGCGATGCACTGCATTCGACTTCCATAATGTGTCTAATACATAATCAGTGTTTCTCCTACCGTTGTTTTTAGGGGGGAAACTGAATTAAAATTAAATTAAACAAAACTGAATTTAAGGAATAATCCATGTTTTAATTTTAACAGTAACGCTCATTGTGCAGCACATTATTTGACAAAAAGTTTATGATAAAATGAGTGTTTTATGGCTTAATTTTATTACCAGCAAAAACACAGAATTAGTGTGATTTTTTTTCATATATCTATTCATATCTGCAAAAGCCTCTAAGTGCCATTTGAAATTTTCTTCTAGAATGATGATTTTTATCAAGCTTGTATATTTAAGTTCAGTGATTTCACTTAAATGGCAATGATAATTACCTATTAATTGTTATTTAAGTGAAATTACTGAACTTAAATATGCAAGTTTGATAAAAATCATCATTAAAGAAGAAAATTTCAAATGGCATTTAGAGGCTTTTGCATCTGAACTCTTCATATTTAAAAAAAAATAATAATACTACATGATTTGAATTATTATACAATCTTCCTCCCCCCCTAAAAAAATCCTAGGGGAAACACTGATAATGCAGCAAAAAAAAAAAAAATGTAATATACAGGTTTATGGCTGAATTTCTTTTTATTAGCTAACCACTTGTAAACTTCGGTGTTCATTTTTTTTTTTTTTAATAAATATAGGATTTGTCTTTAATCTATATTCATGGAGTCGAATCGATACCCAGCCCTAGTGCATATCCCCACATCAAGCATCTCAGCCATTCGGCCAGAAAATGCATCGTTATTCGCAAGCTAAACGCACCGTGCCGATGCACTGCATTCGACTTCCATGCCAAGATCTGCATCTTATACATAATGCAGCAAAGATGTCTGCGTCCTGAGAAAGCGCAGGAGAGGCAATGAGCAAACACGAGAAGATGGAGGATTCTGAGTGCTCGTGGGCCTTGTGGGTTTCTCCAGCTCTATGGATAAGTGGCAGAGACGGGTGCACGGTCTCCCTCAATGCAGAACACACACCGAGAGCCCGTGAGAGAGACGGAGAGAGGGAGATGTAAAAATATCAGCGGGATGAATTATGTATTTCAAACGGAATCGTCCAGAAAATGGAGGACAGAAAGGGTGACGAGCGCGTTTTACCTTGACTTCCACGGCTTGTTTCTGAATTAAAGCAACTGTCTGTACGAACCCTGGGTTTATAACACTAAACTAGTTTAAAATGAAACTTTTTTGGTTTTAAAAGGACTACAATCAGAGATCTCACTTATCTAACAATATCTTTAGTATCGTTCAACTTCTGAAAAAGGTAAACAGATCAGTGTTAACTTTAACCATTGAAAGGATACTATGACAAAGATATCGCTTATTCCGTATTTAAACTGATATTTTCTCCCATGAACATATGATTGACCTGAAGAATGAAAGATGCATCATATACTTGGATATTTATATGAGCAATATCACACTCATAGGCATGAAAAATGGCTCTATATCAGACTGGTTGTACTGGTGATTTTGTTTGACTGTTTTACCAATAAAATTTAACTAATTTCACATTAGTGCCCGACCGATAAAGGATTTTGAAGGCCGATACCGTTTTAAAATCCGATATATCGGCCGATATTTTTTTTTTAATTAAATATTGTTGGATTTCACACACACGTGTAAAAGAAAAGCTAACTTTTCTGCACAAGATACGTTTGATACTTTTTCTCTATGTCTAAATGTTCACTCCTCGCAAGTATAACTTACATTTTACAATGTGTTTGAGTGGATGTTTGTTTTATCTTTATTTCTAAAGACCTTATCATAAATATCGCCATTTTCAAGCGCTAAATTCAATTTCAAAATGTAAAATTCAAGTATTTTAAGCACTTTGTATGAACCCTGAAAACCAATAACATGTTTATTTTATATTTAACTTCACACAGCGCAAATTAAGCTGTTTTATAAACTACAAAAACAGTATAGATTTATAATCATATCAGTTTTCAATCATATTAAATAATTAGTTCATTAAAAACTAAAATGCTGTCATCATTTACCCTAAAGTTGTTTCAAACCTGTATGAGTCTCTTCTGCTGAACACATAAGATTATGGGTAACCAAACCACATTGAGTAGGAAAAAAAATACCATGGAAGTCAATGGGGTCCAAACTGTTCAGCAGGACAAAGAAAGAAACTCATACAGGTTTGAAACAACAGCATTTGTTGATGACGACAGCATTTGTAGTTAAATGAACTATTCCTTTAAGAAATGGCCAAAATTTTAAAAAGCAATTTCTTTCCCATATCAACAGCGTGTCTTTTCTCTAAAACTGTTTAAGAACATTTATATTTAAGTTTTCACCGTGCAAATTAAACATCAAGTTTGGTTGTTTTATAAACTACAAAAACAGTATAAATTTATACTCATATCAGTTATCAATCATATTAAATAACTAGTTCATTAAAAACTAAAATGCTGTCATCATTTACCCTAAAGTTGTTTCAAACCTGTATGAGTTTCTTCTGCTGAACACAAAAAGATATTTTGGCATAAGATTATGGGCAACCAAACAGTTGATGAACCGCATCGAGTAGGAAAGAAACACCATGGAAGTCAATGGGGTCCAAACTCTTTGAATATGTTCTGTTCAGCAGGACAAAGAAAGAAACTCATACAGGTTTGAAACAACAGCATTTGTTGATGACGACAGCATTTTAGTTTAAATGAACTATTCCTTTAAGAAATGCCCAAAATTTCAAAATGCAATTTCCTTCCCATATCAACGGCGTGTCTTTTCTCTACGCAATGTTTTTAAGTTAGAAAACTGTTATAAACCATTAAAATGTTTATTTATATTTAAGTTTTCACCGTTCAAATTAAACATCAAGTTTGGTTGTTTTATAAACTACAAAAACAGTATAAATTAATACTCATATCAGTTATCAATCATATTAAATAACTAGTTCATTAAAAACTAAAATGCTGTCATCATTTACCCTAAAGTTGTTTCAAACCTGTATGAGTTTCTTCTGCTGAACACAAAGGAAGATATTTTGGCATAAGATTATAGGTAACCAAACCGCATGGAAGTCAATGGGGTCCAAACTGTTCAAACTGAACAAAGAAAGAAACTCATACAGGTTTGAAACAACAGCATTTGTTGATGACGACAGCATTTTTAGTTAAATGAACTATTCCTTTAAAAAATGCCCAAAATTTCAAAACGCAATTTCCTTCCCATTTCAACGGCGTGTCTTTTCTCTACGCAATGTTTTTAAGAAAATGTATATTTAAGTTTTCACCGTGCAAATTAAACATCAAGTTTGGTTGTTTTATAAACTACAAAAACAGTATAAATTTATAATCATTGTATTGGCCAACACTTTTCAAATCAGTGCATCCGATTTCCTTCCCACATCAGCTGTTCTCATGCTATTCTTAGGTTTGTTTTCTTCCAGGAACCAACTCTAACTTATTATAACATCTTCCTTTCCACTTCATCCAGGCCAGGACTGAGTTGATAAAGGCTTTCGTAGCAACGCAAGCAGCCATTAAAACGTTAAATGTGCGTCCAACTTCCAGAAGCAGCCGAAGGGGTGTTAGCATGAGCTCATTGCGGTAACAGAACAAAGGTCCTGTACTGGAAACAGTCCAACGGGGGGAGGAGACCACGGAGAGACCAGCTCGACTACATCAGGAAGTCCCGCATGAGGAACAAAGCCAAGAGCTGGACGTCTACCATCAATGATGCAGCATAAAAACATGCAGATAATCACAGAGGTTGCAATCTCGGGGATGGGATATGCATGGGGGTTTTAACAGATGAAAAGCCACACTCCAGCGTTTACGGCTAAATAAGTGTTGAAACGGTCAGAGAAAGAGAGAGAAACGTTGAGACAGGCCAATCAAAGAACGGACGTGACTACACCCCCTATTAGCATTACAATGAGCACTTCAGGCATTGTCTGATGAGAGAGAAAATGGGCAAGGTTTCACGCCTCACAGCCACGTCTCAAAGGGGTGTGTGTGTGTGTGTGCTCTGCTAAAAGACTCCAACAGCCACAAAACACACTCAAAACACTGTTTTTCCAAACACGCAAAACAGAAAGATAATAAAAGTCATTTTTCAATCACTAACCCAAAAAAACAAGACAAAAATTCATTTTAGAAACCGATTAAAAACTATAGTTTTATGAATCCAGGCTGAAAAACATCAAAAAAATCCTCAAAAAAACAAAGCGTATGAAATCTCACCCTTCTCAGCATGTCATATCCAATACATTTCCAATCACAGGACTAATGGCTTCGTCGTAATCAGCACACAGTACTGAAGAAAAACAACAACAGTAGCCCACAAACACACAGATACACAGACACACGCTTCCTGTTATATCCCATAATTCTTTGCAACAAACAGGCCCCGCCCCCTTACCAGAGTCAGAGTCTTTCTGATCTCCATTGGCTCCGACGGTGAAGGGCAGCTTCCTCTTAGGAGCTTTCTCTTTCATCTCCTTCACACCATCGCTGCGGTCCAGTTTAGGGGTCTTGTTTGACGAGCCTTTGTCTTTATCCTGGGGAACATGGGAAATAGTGTCAGTTTAATGGGAAACGGCAAGTGCTCTAGGACAAATATTACTGTGAAAACTATGCAAGCTTTTATTAGTGCTGGGAAACGATTAATTACATACAAAACAATACAGGTTTGTTTAAATAATATTATTATTAAGATCATTATATAAATGCACACATTCACAAATTGTGTTTATATAATGTATTGTTTATGTATACAAAATAATTATACACAGCACTGAGCACACACACATGTATTATGTGTAAACAAACATTATTGTGTGCGTCTTTATTGGATATATATAGCTATGGAACTTTTCCCCCCAAAAAATCAGGATTTTAGGGTTAACAATTGTTTACATACTTAAAAAATACAAATAAAGATGCTGTCGGACATATTTCTCTAAAAAAGTTCAAAAGTTGGACAGCTACCACATTTTACAATTTAAACAGATTATGATTATATATATATATATATATATATATATATATATATGGATGCAACTCGAAAAATTCCACTTAAAAGGTGAAACTAATATATTATATAGACTCAATATAGGCAAAGTGAGATATTTAAAGCCTTTGTTATAATTTTGATGATCAAATTCAAAATTACAATATTGTGAAAAGGTTTTCATAAGCTTTAAGCCATAATCATCACAGTTATAACAAATAAAGGCTTGAAATATCTCACTTCGCATGTAATGAGTCTATATATTAGTTTCACCTTTTAAATAAAAATAAAAATAGAATTCATTACATTTATATAGCGCTTTTCTCGCCACTCAAAGCTCTTATTTTAAGTTGATTTAGTGAAATAAATGAACTTTTGCAAGATATTCTAATTTTTCGAGTTTCACCTGTGTTTGTGTGTATATATATTAGGGGTGGCACGGTTCACAAAACCCACGGTTCGGTTTGTATCACGGTTTTAGGGTCACGGTTTTCGGTTCTGTACGGTTCTTGTTATTTTTTCTTTTAATCTTTAACACTCCAGAAATGTACTTCAGCATGTGATATATAGCTTAATTATCCACACTTTAGGATACAGTATTAAATATATATATATATATATATATATATATATATGCAATCATGCACAAACTGAATTTGACTCTTTGACTTTAAGCACATTTTGGGACTATCTCAGAGGAAAGCTAGGTGAGATTTAGATACAGCAAGAGAGAAGAAATTGACATGCTTTTTGTTTATTTGGCAAAAAAAAGGAGAATGTGTATCACTATCTCTACAAGAACTTGTGCATTTTTATCACATAAATCTTATTTACACAAAGAAATTAACTTTCATGTATCAACTGCTAACTTTTGTAGCTCTTACCAAAATTCTATCTTTTAAAAGAAAAAGAGAGGAACTCTTAAAACACTGTCTTTTAAATGTCAATATACATAAAACCTCATTGCCTATAGATAATTAAGCTATAGCAATAGCAATTTAGCAAAGGCCATAAACATAAAGTGAAATTTAAGTTCAACCTCAACACAAAAACAGTATCAACAATGCTTCTATTCCCAAAATGTGAGGGTACTTTTTTCCACTTAAAATTAAAGTGCAGGGTTTGGAAACATATGACTGAAGCTCTTATCTATACATAAAGTGCCACTGTAGTTAAATTAAAATATCATAACATGAAATCCAAAATGTTCCCACACACCGGACTTATACCATAGACTTATACGACGCTGGCGCATCCTCCAACTCCCTCATCTCTCCCAGTTGCCATTTCTCCGCGTGCCGTGACCTGCAGCGCTCCATACTCCACTTTTACTGGCTTGTTTACTAACTTGAACCGGCGCTGCACAGAGCGATCGGTAATGACATCAAATACCGCAAAAGTGATGAATGCATACGGAGCCGACTCGCGCTAGATTGATGTTATACACCGTATACACTCTGTGCAGCGCCGGTCCAAGTCGAACAAGTTTATGTCGCGCGAAAACAAAACACACGTCACATACGGGCACGAGGTTACATTGCGCATGCGTCGAACCGTGAGACGCACACACGCTCCGAAACGAGACAAGCGAACCGAACGGTTTGGGTGTTTTTTCATGTACCGTGCCACCCCTAATATATATATATATAAGTAAATAAACACAATGAAATTAAGTTGTGACGAAATGTTCAAAAAGTGTTTCACTTCAAGTCATGATCTTATGAAAATCCCAAATTAAACCGATTCAAGTTAAATAAGGAAATAAGTCAAATTTCACCATTTAAAGTGCCTTTCATGCGTCTATAAAAGCTTTCCTAATGTGGCTTGAAGCACCACAGTAGATATTCTGTGTGATGAATCCTCAGTGAACACGAGGTAAGACATTTGAGGAGGGGCTTGAAACAGTTCAACAACTGGAACCCATCAGAAACCCCCACCATCTTCAAAGCCGCACACACACACCCAGTCCTGCCAAAAGCCCACCATTAAAGGCATCCGATATCCAGATCTCAAATAAAGCACATTTTGCAGAAACTCCTAGACTACAAACATGCACATCAGCCATACTTAGGAGACACAACACGAACAGGGGAGCTTCATTCTGCCTGCGGTTTCCTACTTTACAGCTAGGCCAATTTTCCATGCCGATCGGGGGGTAACAACCATGGAATGGATTTAACATGGTAAAATGTGTTAAATGGAGTTGGGTATCGAGAACCGGGTCCATTTTACAAGACAAGGCACATTGGTAATTCAATGTGCTTTACATGGAAGAAATTAAAATAATCAAAAGAAATAAGAATAATTAAAACAGCTTAGAATAAAAAATAAGATAAAATACAGTACAAACAGGCCTTAAGAACTGGTTCATGAATAAATATCATATAATATGTGTGTAACAGCATATTGGATTCATTTTTAACAATGTTAATCAATCAACCACAAAGAGTAACATTTGTAACTATATTTGTAATGTTCATTTTATTTATAAAGTGCAATGTTATTTTACATTTGATTTCAATTATCTAACAATCTTATAACACTGTTTATGTCAATGGTTTCTTTGCTTTTGCAGTTATTTGTGCAATTGCTAACTTGTGTTTACTTGTCTTTAATAATGATAAATAACTGCTTAAGAACTAAATAACATTAATTAATTCCATGTACTTCGTATAGTTACAGTTTAGGGTTAGTTAGTTACTTGTAATTATGCATAATTTACTGTTATTTAATATACAGTAAGTACATGTAGTAACGCGTAACTTAAAATGAAGTGCTACTGTAAAATATATCAGTTAGGATAGTTGGTTTTTGCGATGGGATTTTTAACCTGTTCATTTTTTGTTCATGGTATTCAGCTTCAACAAAACGTTTTGCAATAAGACTTAAATAAATGTAAATAATAAAGAAAAAAAACCCAACCTTGCATGCAATGGAAAAGAAATATAGATTTTAAGCAGTTCTCTTCATACGAGCACATGTGGTTGTAGAAATAATCCCTAAATGTGTGTGTGATTGTTGAGAGGAAGTGAGACTGGAGCAGCTGGGTCTCTGTCTGCTACTGGCAGCGCTAATGAAGGCTAATTAAAGAGCTCTTAGTGCAGCGATAAAGCTCAAGCTGAACGCAGCGTCGAGCCGTTTCTGCTGCGAGAGCGTCTCTGACCAACTTCCACCACACTGTCATGAGACTATGATGTCATCCACGTGCACACACACACTCTTTTGCTATACTTGAGGACATTCCATAGGCGTAATGGCTTTATACTGTACAGACTGTATATTCTGTTCCCATACACTAACCTGATCCCTAAACCTTTCACACACACACACACACACAAACACTAAACCGATGCCTAAACCTACCCATCACACACACACACACACAAGGGGTTGAACCGACTAGTCGACCTTAATGCAATGCCGTGGCGCTTTAAGTTTGACGTCGACTAGTCGCGTTGATCATGTGACACTATATGATTGCGCTAATTTTGATAGTCTATGGCCGCGTTGCAGACGACAACAGATGAAGAGCCCAGAGGGTCATTGCAGCAAGAAAACAGCATTGGTACATAAAGCATATGGGAAAACTTTACTAACGTATAGCACCACTATATTGTTGAAAACGAAAGTAAAAGCATGACGCACGCGGGAAATGAGAGCAGTGTCTTTTAAAATCATTCAAACATTAGCCTATTTTTTCATATATTTATTTAAACATATTAATGCATCTCTAATTCACCCGCAATCAATTGGAATATTATTTTGTATTACTTAGATCCATACTAACGTGCAGATTTAAATTTAAAGCTTTTTTTTTTCTTTTCATCCTAAATGATGATGTAAACAGCGGGCTGTTTAGCTAACGTTACATCTGGCCACTGCACGTGTTTCTGTGATCTGATTGCTATCCGATTGTGAAAAGACCACGTGCAAAAGCTAAACGCCCTTCGAAACGCATTTAAATCCGATCGCTCAAACCACTTCATGAGGAGGTCTGGGCCGCTTTACAGACGAAACTGGACACGTGTAAATGCATCTGGTTGTTGAAACCGCATATGTAAATTGGACTTCTCCCAAAAATGCTGAAATAAAACGTGTGAGAGCAGCCTGTGCTATTATATTCATTATATGACGAAGCTATAACACACACCGCAGCTGAGCATCTATTCATAAAGCCAACGTGCAAACTATCGTAAATCAAAGTGAAAGGAAGTCACAGACGCTTAACACACAATCATCTTCGTTAAAAGTAAAGAAACAAAATGATCTTACCAGTGCTGTCTCTCTTATTGCGGTCTTTGATTGTGAAATTAGCTGATCAATAAAATGCAGCTCATTACTGTTGCTTTCGGTGACGTGAACTCCGTTAAATCTGCATATAGCGCGTTGTTTGAAGATCGGATGCGAAAACATATTTATGTGAGCAGGTGTAAATGGACTCGTTTTGATAAATCGATCAGGGGTGTAACGGTACACAAAAATCACGGTTCGGTACGTACCTCGGTTTTAAAGTCACGGTTCGGTACGTTTTCGATACAGCAAAAAGAAAGAAATGCCAGAGAAATGTCCTATTTGTTTAAAGAAAAAATATTTTTAAATAAATGTGAGTTTTCCTCGATCTTGAAACTTTCAGGTTTATAAATGGAGGTCATCTTTGAAGGATGAACAAATAATGTTTTGGTCATCACATTAAAAATAACATTTAAATATATGTTTATTTATATAATATTTGAATTTTGAAGTGCTGGAAAAAGATGTGTGAAGTACTTGAAAGCATTTCACCATTCCAGCCAAACTGGTTCCAGTTAGTGTTTCTATATTAAATCCATGGTGAATGTTGCTGGTCTGTGGACGTAAAGTACTAGTTCATTCACAGCACAATGTTTCTCCTGGTTTCCATGACAGCGCTGTTTGATCTAATAGAGATCTACGGTTAATAACGGAGAAATGTGAATGCATCTCAATAGATCTGGCAGCGATGTTATTACCTCAGTGGCGAATTCAAATGTTTTCTTTATCGGATCTCTTAGCGCTGTGTGTTAACAGTGTTGCTTGATCGAGATCGGCTCGCGCTGCACAGATGTTGCTGGTCCGAACTGATAAACGATCCGTGAAGCAGATAATCCGTGAAGCACATAATGAGTACCCAGATAGCAGACTGACATTGAATCAACGTGGAAATATGACATCGAAACAACGTTGATCTGACATTGTTTTGCTCATCGAATTAACATTGAACCAACGTCAGACGCGTCATTCTTTCAAAACGAACGGAAAATCAACTTGAAATCAACGCGTTGTTTCAACGTTATGAAAGCAAACCAATTTTCGATTTCATTTAGCTTTGAAGAATGCCGCGTCTGACGTTGGTTCAACGTTAATTCGATGAGCAAATCAACGTTGTTTCAATGTCATGAGAGACGTCGTTTCCACGTTGATTCAATGTCAGTTTGCTATCTGGGTAGCGCAGTTTTGCTCTGCTTTCATTACATTTGCCATTTGATGTTGCGCAATGTTGTGTTGGCCGCGTCAGCGCGAATTTTGCCGGCAGGAAAAATGGTCCAAGCAATCGTTCGGTTTGTATGCGTACCGAACCGGAAGCCTTGAACCGAAACGGCTCAATACGAATACATGTACCGTTACACCCCTAGTAAAAAAGCATGAAGTGTCCAGGTGTGAACGGCCCCATTACGAGCTGTCGGCGTCTGTATAATTTTCTGTTAATTGATTGCAAATTGTGGCATGTTGCAAATCTGTCACATCTCTTGTGTTTTTATGAATGACGTCAGCGACTAGTCGACGTCGATTTGACTTTAATGTCATAACAGTCGACTTCAAAAAATCTGAAGTCGTTCAACCCCTAACACACACACGCACGCACACACACACACACACTAACCCGACCCCTAAACCTAACCATCACACACACACAACCCCTAAATGTACCCATCACACACACACACACTAACCTGACCCCTAAACCTACCAATCACACAGATATACACACAAACGACCCCTAAACCTACCCATCACGCACACACACACACACAACCCCTAAACAATCACTCTCACACACTCTACACATCACAGAAAACTTTACATTTTCACTAAAACACTGTTTAGTATGTTTTGAAAGCTATTTTAAATACAAGGAAATGTCCTCATAAATCAGTGTAATACTAGTGTCATTATAAAATCACACACACACACCCGTCACTCTCACAGAGAGCCAGAGAAAGATGCGAGCCGAGCCTCTCGCAGCACGTAGAGAAACTAAAGCTAAATCAAGCAAAGACACAGTTTCAGTGCTTTTCTCTAAAACCATCTGTGTGCGCAGGCCTGTTTACTGACTGTTTCCTAGCAATGCTTTCACTCGCCCTCGCTCACACACTCCCTCCCTTCCCCTTCGCAGTGTCTGATGCAATACTACACAGAAGGATGTACACACACACACACACCATCTGGGCCTTAAACTCTTCACCAACTCTGGCTCGTCTTGCACCACAACACTGACCCCCGGACTCAAAAACACTCGTGAAAAGGAAAAGCGCCTCTATTGTTTTTATACAATGCCACACTGAATTTCCTTCAAAATGCAGACGAATACAGCCTTCGAACACACTTATTAATTCCTTTTTTTTGTATACTGAGTGCTGTTGTCATGTTGGTCTTTGTGTTTTGTCTGCATTAATGAATCCTGGGACGGACGCCAATGAATCTCATTAATCTCCATGTTGAACAACCTCAAGAAGGATAAACCTCTTAACTAAGGATTGTCATATTCTCACAGTTTGTGAAGGTAAAAGGTGGTGTGTTATATAGTATAGCTGTTGGCATGATTTACACAAATGATGTCAGAATTTATAAAAACAAAGAGTAAAAAGCACGTGTCGTACAATAAACCTACAAAATAAATTTAAATCCCCCCTTTTACTTTCGTGATTGGTTGCGGATTAAAAGGAAATGACCATATTTGGATCGGACAACATTGTACAGGAGAGAGAGAGAGCTTTCTAACGGTGTCTGTGATGACGGTTAGGGTTCGGTATCGTTTGAATTTGAACGATTCCGATTCCTTGTTTCGATTCCGGTTCCTAAAGATTCTCGATTCCGATTCTTTTAAGAGGCAGGGTCAAAAAAGTTTAGCTAACCTTGCTAACCAACGGTCTTTCTGAAGGAAAGTGTTTTTTTTTGAAGGAAATACTCCTTCTGTCACAAATTTCGCCGAGATTTCGTTATTTTTAGAAAAGTGAAGCCACACTTTGGACCGCCGACGTAAGCTACTCATGTTCGACTCGCGCGGTTATGCCAACGCTTCTTCGTTGGTGTTGTTCAGCGGTTTCTTCTTCCGGTCGGCGGACTGTGAATATTGAAACTAGGAATCGAAATTGTAACTTTTGAACGATTCCGGGAAAAATTAAAAGTTAGTCCCGGTTCCAATTGACACTCGATTCTCGATACCCAACCCTAATGACGGTGCAGATCGCGGAGCAGCGGGATGATTTACGATGCCAACTTTTGTTGAATTTATGAGAAATCTACAGACGCAAAGTCAATGGAGACGGTTGGATTTGTTTCCCCTCGCTGTGGGTGTGGCCTAAATACGCTCCGTCTCATGCACAGTATGGCAAAGGGCGGGGGACATGCAGCTTATCATACGCTTCCCCAACGTATGCGCCAATAAAAGAAAATAGAAATAAATTAAAATGAATTTAGATTTAAAAAGCAATAATTGCATGAAAACAGGCTGTTGACAAGTCTGAAATCTCAAACAAAAATCGCATCATCGCAAAATCCCAGAAAATATCAAGATGTAATTTTTTGCCAATATCGCACACCCCTACTTTGCTCTTACGACATGACTTAGGATAAACCTTATTCATTGGGTTGCTACTTAACAGCTTAGAAAGGTTACAGGAGGTTATACCGGCAGACTGTGTGTGTGTGTTCATGTTTTTCTATCTTGGTGGGGGCTTAAACCTGAATGCACACAGACTCATGGGTACTCATGTCACTGAGGGGACATAAATTGAGGTCCCTATGGGTAAACACGCTTATAAATCATACAGAATGAGTTTTTTTTTAAAAAATGTAAAAATGGAGAAAGGTTTGTGTGATGGGTAGGTTTAGGGGTCGGGTTAGTGTAAGGCGACAGAATATACAGTCTATACAGTATAAAAACCATTATGCCTCTGGAGAGTCCCCACAATGATAGCAAACCAGACGTGTGTGTGTGTGGGGGGGGGATATAAAAGCAATTTTCCTCACCTTCTTCCCACCCTGCTTTTCCACCATGTCGGTGTTGAGTGGGAAGTCCTCCAGCTGGGGGGTTTTAGCACCCCCACCCTTGGGCATCGTTCAGCTATTGCCACGCCAAACCTCATTCACGCTTCCATCGCATCGTCATCGACCGTCTGTGAGAGCGAGAGAAGAGAAGGACGCGTTAGTGCATTGAGTAATATTCAGGAGGATCTGTAGACGGAAATGCAATATCATATTTAAAGACCTTACTTAATGAAGCGTAATGTTTTTATTAGCTGAGAATGAGGCATTTCTCTCTACACACACACATTAACATGTTTCTACGGTGGCCCTGAACGGACAAACGCGTTTCGTCACTATGTAAAGAAGCTGCTAAAAACACTGACAATAATATTTGCAATAACATAAAATTTTACTGAATAATAAAGTAAACATTTCTTAATTTAAGCTTGTTTAACTGGCTACTCTGCTGTCTCAGGCGACGACATCACTTCCTGTCGGCCACCGGTTGCAATTCGCAACCTCACCACTGGATGCCGCTAAAAATCACACAATGCACCTTTAACTCGACACACAATGTTTTTTTTACTATTTTGTTGCTTACAATTGAATGCAACAGATCTCCGAAAAAAAATAGCATTTAGGGTCCAGATTTCATGACCACGAGAACCGTTTTACATCTGTTAATGTTCTACGTAAACAATAGTAAAAACTCAACAGTCGTTAGAAAGTGTATTATAAAATCACACTTCAGATTGCCATCATGATGGGCATTGGGTTGCATTTCATTCTAACTTCTCATTTGTATAATAAACATCTGTGCCATATATAAATCCTAATGACAGAGGAGATCTCCCATATTTTGAATGTGGGGCACATTATAATAACTATTGTTAATCACACACAGAAACTCAAAGACGTGAGAGAGACCGAGGGGTTCAAACAGAACGTCTTATCAATAGAAAAATGTACATTACAGGTATAAATATTGCTACTTTTTTCAGTAAAGTAACATTCTCTTTTTCTCTCTGTGCTCGAAAGAACATTTTGAAAGAAATATTAAAGCTTAATCCCACATTTTCATGACAAATTACTTTTTGTAACTGACATGAACGCATTGCAATTTATATAAAATCAGTCACCATCGCAATTAGCCTTACTACCAATCAAAATGTTGTATACTTGACTTTTTGACAGCCCTACTGCCAACAAATTGCATCATTTGTCTTCCATTGTGAGGATCTAATAACACTGATCTGCAATCTGTAGTAGCTTTTTTTTTAAATGACACATTCAATATACGTTTTAAATTCAGAATCTGGATCGTTCCCCAGAATGCATTTGATCCAGTGAAGCAGGAAAACCATTACACAAACACCAGCCAAGATTTTGACTGTATTTCCATACATTCGCAAATTTAAGCAAAACCTTAAAAAAAATACCAATATAATTCAGGACATTTCTACAGTCCAAAAATCAAGCACGGTGATTCAGAAGCTTATAAACAAAACCGCAAACTGGACACAGTCACGTACACACAGATCAGAGCTACCGGCAAACCGGTGAGATAAAGATATAAAACACTAAAGCGCAAGTGCACTGCAATTCATTAGTGCTGCAGGGAGGAGACGGCTGCTGCAAGAGATTACAAGGGAAAAATCAATTCGTAACGGCATTGCAAATAGTGCACAGAAAACCAATATCCATACAATGAAGTTTTTGCATCAAGGCTTTGAAAATATGGTATTTTGAACAAATGCATTGGTTTAATGTCTATAAGGCAGCACAGTCATCTTTTTCTACTCATTTGGAAACAATTATAATACTGAACGTTCCCACGGCACACGGCTGTAGATCGAAGATGCCCTGTTGCAATTCTGAATCAAGCATGTGGCATTTCACTTTGGAAACCTACAGTCTTTATAACACGCATTCAATTTGAGAGCAACGTCACGTGACATGCATGCAACCAAAAGTTGTGAAAGTGCACATGACAAGTGACTTAAATCACCCTGAAGAGAGATCAAGAGGAATTTAACCAACATGTGCATTAGGGTTGCACAATATTGGGGGAAAAAAGTGCATTGTGATATGTTGTTATAAAAACAATTTCACCAGATGAGTTGAATAGCTCTAACGTAATAATCATCTGCTTGGAATAAATTGGATTTAAAAACAAGGCATATATCAAACATATATAATTTTAAGAAGACTCTAAAACAGATTACAATTAATAGTATTACAGTTAATAGTTAATTTGTGACTGTTTATAGGTACTGATATCAAATGCTGTATGTGGTAATGTTTATATGAATGTTATATTTGTGTATTTTAATTGTACATAAGTTTCAGTACTTTTATGGGTCCCAGGAAGACTAGCAACCACATTGTGGAAGCTAATGGGGATCCAAATAAATAAATAAAAAAAATAAAATAAAATAACTGAATAGAATTAATCATTCTAGAATAATTGGGGTGATTTTGTTCAGTGGATCTGCATTAATTGAATTGAAATAAGCATTGTTTTAAGTTTTCAAGAAAATCTAACTAATCGTGCAGAAATGTAATAATCAAAGGTGAAATAACATTCTAGGTATCTAAATGAAATATAATAAAAATTAATGAATACAGTTTATCTTTTTTAAAAGGTACAAGTTGGGGTTGGGCAACGATTAATCGCGATTAATCGCATCCAAAATAAAAGTTTGTTTACATAATAATATATGTGTGTAATGTGTATAATTATTTTGTGTATATATTTAAGAAAAATGTGTTCTTAATATCAAATACATAATATTAATTTTGTATAAATATATATAAAGAATATACATGCAAATATTTCTTAAATATATACATGCATGTGAGTGTATTTATATATATAAGAATAATTATACACAACATAAATATATTACGTAAACACAAACTTTAATTTTGGATGCGATTAATCGTTGCGTCAGTTTTTCACCATCACCATTGGTGACGCACACAGCTGAGGGTATGTTACGCTGCTGGCCCTTTAAGACCAATACACGGGTCCAATATAATGATTCACATCGATTTTCTTTTTTTCTTTTCGAGACGGGCATTTTGAGTTTTGTTTGCACGGGTCAGTGTGATGATGCTTGGATCAATTAATATTTGTGCATGCTGAATCAAGAGGGCAGTTGTACACTATAACTCTCCTTCCATAATGCATGCTTTAGTTTTGTGTGGCACTCACCACATTCAAAGACAGCTATTTATATCTCCAGCTAAAGTAGCACACAATACTGCTCTTCTGTTGTCTCCCACACCTCAAAGGCTCTAATGGGGATAAACAAATGTGGTGTTTGTACGAGGTTGATGCACAAAACATGGCCAAACAATGATCAAAACCACCACAGGCCATTCAACTACTTTTATATGTTAGCTCAGCTGCGAGACTGAAGGAAATCTTCAAAAACAGTCCGTACATGAATGTGCATGAAGTATAACGCGTCTGCTTAAGGAATGCGTGTTTTTGTGCACCCTGCTTGTGAACGTGTGTGTGTGTGTGTGTGTGTGTGTTCTGCACCCAGAGAAGAAACACAATAACATCCATTCCAGAAACACGGCTCATTTCCTCTGCTTTCCAGCCCAATCAAAAGCTGCTGCGCATCTGCCATCAGTGTGGGTGCTTGTGTCAGACAAACCGTTTTTTTTTGTGTGTTGTTGCCTGCAGCCAGCTGTAATTCATCACATATGAGGTCTACTTTTAGCACTGTACTCTACTGTAGCTGGAGCAGACGACACGAGGCCTAATACTGACTTCTCCCTGCATCCGGTTCCTTCTGCACAAACACACACAAGGTTTTGACACGTTCCCTGCAGCGGTCTCGCATTCGTCTGAATCCTGGCTAGTTGGGGGCCTTAAGCACATTTTCGCGCAAATTCATCTAAAAGCGCCAAATTTGGCACAGATGTAGCTCAGGTCATACTGAAATGATTTAGCTAGGGCGCCGGAGCCAGCGACCCTCAGGGCCAAGATGGCGGCCAAATCCAATATGGCCGCTGCCCGAAAAGGGTTCCGGCTATAACTTTTGAACCACATGAGTTACAAATACAAACTTGAAATGTTTTTCAGCTTAATTGATCATGGGAAACACATAGAAATGTTTATATTTATGACCCAGTATATCTGGACCCCTTGATCCTCCAATTCCAATATGGCCGCTGTCCAAAAAAGCAGTTTGGGCTGTAGAATGGGGCCTTACATCCCATTGTTCGCGCAAATTCATATACAAGCACCAAATTTGGCACAGATGTTGCTTAGGTCATACTGAAATGATTTAGCCAGGGCGCCCAAGCCAATGGTCCCTGAGACCAAGATGGCGGCCAAATCCAATATGGCCACCGTCTGAAAGGGATTCGACTATAGCTTTTGAGCCAGATGAGATATAAATACAAACTTGATGTCTATTTTACCTTTTCTGGCTATGGGAAACCCATATGAATACTTACATTTATGATTGGGTTTATCAGGACACAATATTTTTTTTTTTTTCAAAAAAAAATATCGCTATCAGGACCCCCCAAATTCCCTAAATCCAATATGGCCACCACCTAAAATGGATTCGACTATAGCTTTTGAGCCAGATGAGATATAAATACAAACTTGATGTCTATTTTACCTTTTATGGATATGGGAAACCCATAGGAATACTTACATATATGATTGGGTATATCAGGACTCCCCAATATGGCTGCTGTCCGAAAAAGGGTTTTGGCAACAAATTTTGAACCAAATGCGCTACAAATGAGGATGTGGTGTCTATTTTATGTTTATTGATCACAGGAAGTCTACTGGCATATTTATATTTATGCTTGTGTAAGTCTGGAACCTGTATTCTTTTCAAGACTGTGGTTGAAAATCCTTTTTTTATCACAACTTTGAAGGTTATTCTCAATGTTGATTAATTTCCTTATAAAAGTGAAATGCTTTTCAGTGTACTACAGGTGAATACATTTCAAAGTGTAATCATTTAAGAAAGAATAATACACATTATTATTGCAAGTAAATATTTATATTGTCAAATTGTTAAAAGAATAATATAGTAAATTTCTCCTAAACTCTTAATGGTTTGCTTAGCGTAACAAAAAATAGCAATAACATGGAAAAAACAACAGTGAATTC